GAGGAGGAGGAGGGAGTCGTGGGTGGGTGGGTGGGTGGACAGGCCACAGGGACCCCCTGGGCCAGCTGACCAAGGCTGCCTTCCTCCAGGCTGCCCAGGAACAGAAGGTCGCCCAGCGAAGTTCACATCTGTTGGGCCTCGAGGGCGGGCGATGGCCTTCGGGGAGCTCTGTGGCTGAGCTGGCATCCCTCGGCCACCACCGCAAGGGGAGGGAAGGGGAAGGCCCAGTACATTCTGAGCGGGGTGGGGGGAGGCTAGCCGAGGAGCACGGAGACCTCCTGGGGAGGTTTGCAGGGCCCCCGTCCTAAGGGCCGGCACACCCCCATGGCCTACAGTTTGATCACATGACAATGGCGGGGGGGGGGTTGCTGCAGGAGTTGGTGGGCTTTTGGGGCTCCCGTGGATGGCCAGGGGGCTCTGGGCCTGGGAGAAAGGTGGACCCTTGGCGAGGACAGCCCCCTCCCCGAGGCAGCTCAGTCCTTTGCAACGCCACCCAGAGCCTTCCTTTGCGCCCGGGGGGGGGGGGGGGGCTGAGCCAGAGAGGCTGCACGTCCAAGGGCCGGATTTAAACTTTTGTTGGCTTTTCTTCGGTGAGAACCGAAAGGGCCTTGAACCCCCCAGTCCTGCAGAGTCGGCCACAAATGAACACAGGGGCACCAAACGGTTAAACCATAAACATTCACTTTTTTAATTAAGAAAGCATGCACAAAAATAATTTTTGTGAGGCCGCCCCTCCCCTCCTCGGCACCGAGCGCTGTGGGCCCCATGGAGCAATGGGCAGGCGAGGGATCCCCCTCCGTGGCTGAGCCCCTTTCCCCAGGCAGACGGAAAGGGACGGCCGCTGGCAGAGCCTCGGATGGCACCCCAGGACGACAGAGTTTCTTTACCCAGAAGGAGACGGGGGGGGGGACGGGGGATGAGAGCGGTTGGGACACGGACTGGCACAGATTTACATATGCGAAAAAGGCGCAACTGTGTGGATGAAGAGCCTGATGGATGATCTCTTGCCTCCCTGAACGACCCTTTGGGTGGGGCGGGGGGGGGGTCATCTTCAGAAGCCGCCCTGCCCAAAACCTGGAGTGAAGCCATCCCTGCCTCAGGCAACCTTCTCATGACAGGTGGGAGCACCAGGGCTGCACATCCCATGGCTCAGGGTCTCCCTTGAGATCACCGGACGATGCCCCCCCCTCCCCGGCCCAAACTCCCC